TCTGAACTTGTCTAGCTTATACTGCAGACGGGCAAGGGGTGACCTAATTGAGGTGTATAAGCCTCTCAAGGGGCACTACTCCGTCGAGTGTCCTTACTTGGAGCTGGCGGACGCTCGCCCCACAAGGGGCCACAACTCAAGATTGAAGAAGCAGCAAGTCCAGAAAACTGTGAGGGTAAACTTTTTCGGAGTGAGAGTTGTGAACTCTTGGAACAATCTACCAGAAGTGTTGTGACGGCACCGAATGTGAGCTCTTTCAAGACAAGACTTGACCAACACTGGGGCAGGTTCAGGACATTCAGGAGCTAGTGCATGCCCAGTACTTGTCAACAGTGCGTAACAGAGACGTGACCGATCGCCCAAGTGGCTAACGAGCCGATCAGTGGTGAAGAGGATAAAAGTAAACAACATATTTATCTTGCCGACGACAAACATTCCCGACTGATGACTTACTAAAAGTAATGAGACGTAACACACCAGCGTATTTTATAGGAGACTTAAGGCGAGACACACCATACTCGGACACCGAACCAGAAACCCAAGGGGGAAGATAATACACGACTTATTAGAAAACGGCAACATCACACACCTGGGCCCAGATGTCGAAACCTACACAGCTGCAGGAAACACCGGGAAGCCGGATATATATCTGACCAATAGACACCACCATTTGAATACACACATGAAACCTGGACCAACCACCATTAGCGATCACCTGTCCATAATTATCACTATCAACATCACCAATACAAATCCCCTCCATCCCTAGATTCTCTTTCAACAGAGCAAACTGGGAGGGTTTTAAGGCAGAACTCGACACAAACGAACAAATACATCTACACAACAAAAAAACAGCAGACATTGACATAGTCCTGGAAACATGGTACACTAATGTCACCACAACCATGGAAAACAACACCCCCAAAACATCTTACCGTACACTACCCCACGCACAATTAACACACGAACAGAAGAGAATCCAGACAAGACTGAATAACTTACTAGAACATACAAATACACACGGCTGGAACCAAGAAACAATAACTCTTTTCAGAAACCTGAAGGAAGAACTGAAAGAAATATGTAAACAATCACACAACGACAAATGGAACCAGCAACCACAAACACAGGCCGACTATCACAATCCAAAACTCTTCTGGAGTAAAATAAAAAACCTAATGGGCACTAACTCCATAGATAACAGCCATCTTACAGATGACAACAGGGTAAAGGCTACAGAATCTGGAGACAAAGAATTGATTTTCAGAAATCTCTGGAGTAACATATATAAAGTGACAGAAGAAGAAAACAGAAAATATTGTAGAGTAACAAAAGATAGTAACAACACACCTTACACTAAACACAGAGAAATGGCAACCACCAAGAACAATAGACCTCAACATACTAAACAGTGCAGACCCATTAACCTCGCCATTCACCACAAAAGACATAACAAACATAATAACCAGTTATTAAAAATAAAGCACCTGGACTAAGTCAGATAAACAAAACGGTCCTTCAAAACATACCCACAGCACTGATAAAACAACTTACACAGATCTTTAACTCCTCACTAACACCAGGACACTTCCCCACGAGATTCAAAACAGCCCAAATCAGACTCGTACCCAAACCCGGGAAAAACCCCAACAAGACCGGAAAATTACAGACCTATATCCCTATTAGAAACACTAGGTAAAATACTAGAAAATATAGTCAACAACAGACTCAGAAACTATCTAGAACAGGGAAAACAAATATCACCCCAGACAACATGGATTCCGGAAGAACCGAGGCACAAACACGGCTATTGCACTAATTTACGAAACAATAGCTAACGCCCTCAGCAATAAAAACCAGTGCAATGTCATTCTCAGAGATGTATCAAAAGCTTTCGATAAAGTGTGGCACGAAGGTCTCAAATATAAAATAATTCAACTTCACATACCAAAAAAACATGACAACCCTTCTCTGCAACTTCTTAGACAACAGACAAGCCAAACTCATTATAGATAACTTCACTGGACAAACCTTCAACATACACAGTGGAGTGTCACAGGGCAGCAACATTTCACCCACACTGTACACAATATACACAGCAGACATACCAGACCAAAGGCAGTCGGACTACATAGCATACGCAGACGATATCACGCATATAATACAATATCCAGGGAGATCTAAACAAATGATGGCTATAAGAACAGGAAGAGAAACTGAAGCAATTAACAACTATGAGAGAAAATGGGAAATCCAAACCAACATCCAAAAACTAAAGATCATATACATTGCAAAAATAAATCCATACACCAACACATTAGAGAAAGATTGACGAAAGCCAAATTACAACTAACCAAACTCCGTCGTGTTAGAAAACTAAACACCAAAACACAGCTACATCTACACGAGTCACTTGTCACAATAACTAAAACAAACAAACACAAGCTGCAAGCAGTCCAAAATGCAGCACTAAGAAGAGCAGCAAAACATAGGCCGCCATACAGTCAAAAAATACGAGACATACACATCGAACATAACATAGACACAATTAACATAAGAACACACAAACAAGCATAAGCGGTATGGGACAAGCTACACCGAACACAAGACCCTATTTTACCGGAACCATTACAGGCAAACAACAATATATCACACACCTGGTAGCCCAGAACCATTATACGCGAGAGAATAACACCACTCGTATAACCGAAAAGCTGGGGACTATCCTGCCAGTTCACACAAGGACCTGGTGGGACCCCCAATCACTAAAAACGAGGAACATCCCTTCAGTTACACAAGGACCTGAAGGAACTCTCCAACAAATCCTTAAAGCAGCACATTCCCTTGGATGGCACTTTAAACCAGCTTAGCTTAGCTTATCTAACCTCCCTTGCCCCTGGAGGACTGACGGACGTCTGTCACTGGTTCAGCCACAAACCAGCCTCCGCAAGGTGGAAAGCCCACTTCCCGCTTCTTAACTATACCTTGCCCTAAATCTCCTTGTTCACCTCAGAGCCACGGCTCTCTTGTCTCGGTGTTCTGATTGACTGAAGGTAGACAACACCACGCTTTTAAGCAGAGAAGACCTCCTCTAAAGAAGCTCCTCCACTGCAACTCCTCTACTAAGCAGCAACTTCCCAAAGAGAAAACGCCATTGTGAGTTTCCTTTCTCACCTCCATCCTTAATCCTTAAGAGTGCGAGACCTCCTCCATGTACAGTACGTATGTATGTGAGCCTAACAAAGAGAAAATAGACAAACACAAGATAAATTAGACAACTGGCCACATACACTACGCTACAAGGTCATTCAGTGACGCCACAGACTTACGACAGTCCCGTCTCCAGATGAATATAAATACCCTTTTCGCCCTCCAAATTTTGATATATTGAAATATAATATATTCAAAACTGATAGAAAATAAGTTTGTTGGTGACAGAAAGCTTTGTTTCCATATATTGTCCATTCAAAGATTGCCAGTTATTTACAAGTGTTAAATAATTCCGGATGATGAGCAGTATAATGAGCAGTATTTTAGAGAAGAAACAGAAACATCTACTTGTAGAGATATGTCAATGCGTCCTGTATGTTTATGTACTACACGCTAATTGGTGTTCCTAGTGTAATAACTAACTTTCGTATAGTAAGCACAAACTACCAACGAAATTACAATGTTTAAGATCAGCCTAGTCAGCCTCATCACTAAGGAATGTGGCTATTTAAAACCTTATAAATTATTTTTAAGTGGCACTGCGGCTGAGAACCAAACTAGGTCACAATATTCAAGTATGGGTAACAGAATGAAGTAAAAGACAATGTAATAATATTAACATTCTTAAACATTAAATTATTTACAAACCACAAAAAAAAATGTGAAATGCTGACGATGCTACAGAATAAATATGATTAGGTTAGGTTAGGAATTCTCGGCTAAGTAGCCACTTGCTAAAAGATAAGGCCATATTTTAAGAAGGGTGAAAACGTACATTTTTTTTTGCATAACTTTGCCCTTCTTCTGAATAAGGCTAACGAGAAATGGGCTGTTTAAAGGACAGCGACACGCCCTGTTCATCGCTATTCTTATTTCCCGCCCCGGAGGTACTGGTGGTAGAGTGGTACCGCTCTTGCCTTCTCAAGCGAGATGTCACGGGTTAGCTATTCCGTAAATCGAAAACGCTTTACAATAAACTCCTATAATCTTCAACACATATTTTTTAATGGGGAAAAGCCCACCCGAGCACAGGTCGACCCACAACGGGGCCTAGGGGACGAAAACTTAAGAGCAAATAGACAAGAGAATAATAATTCATATATCCAATAAATATCCTCTTAACAGTTTTATATTTGTTTGATCGTGTAAATTTACTTTTTTTGTTTTAGTTACATTTTTTATTATTTATTCTTATTTTTTTCGCGTTTGAGAGAAATATTATTGGGGTACTCGACGCCCAAGGTTAATCCTTGTTCGACGCCTGGATTGTGGTAACAGTGGACTCTCCAGCCGATCTGGAAAGGGAAATGTTAGTAACCCTGCCCAGTTCATCGGGATCCCGAGCCATTGTAGTGCCCGAAGCACGTTCCTGAATGACCTCGCCCCACACAAGTGTATGGTGCCCGATGGCCGACACACCATCGGTGCAGGAAGACTGTGATATGGCCCACAGGTACCACTTGGATATTACTGTCTGTACTTTATAACTTACTTTGTATTCCTGTGCTATCACTAATACTATATAGGTCTTTAGACCTGATAAAATGTTCTTTATCTACCCTTCTAGTCACATACACCACTATCTATCTATGTATCTCTCTCTATCTATTCACATGTCTATCCATCTATTCACATATATCTATATATCTCTATCTACCCACCTCTTCATCTATCTACCCACCTATTCATCTATCTACTCACCTCTTCATTTATCAATCTATCTATCCATCTATCTGCCTACCTCCTCATATATACTGTACTGTCTCTTATTCTTTACAATTTTACAATACCTGGTGAGGGGGGAGAGGGAGGAGGGCCGTGGTCTTCCCCCGTCAGTGTTAAACTCAGAAGGGCGTGAAGAATAACGCTCTTTTCCATTTTGTTTACCTCACACTGCACGGTTGGCACTCTTGCTCAGATTCAACTTGTTTATTCCCTTGATGATGGTACGCCTGTTAAGTTTCAGTAATGCTGGTAGCTGTCCAATTTCGATGGTGTTGATACGCTTGTGGAAAAAAATTGGCACAATTATTAATCCTTTCGAAATTACATAATGTTGGTATGTTTGTAAATGTTAAATAATATTAGTTAGCCTGTAAAGGTGGTGTGGTCAGAGAGATAAAGATTATAAACTTATTGCGATTCAGTAGTGTGGTAAGCCTGTCTCGCTAAGGTAGCAATGAAAAGCCTGAGTAGAAGATAATGACTATAAAGTAGTTGCTAATTCTGCTAATATTCGGTAGTGTTGCTAAACCTGCAATGCATGGCAAAACCGGTAAGCATTGTGGGGTTTACGTGATGTAGGATCGCACTAGGATGGAGGTGAGAAGGGAAACTCAGCTATGGCGTTTTATATATATATATATATATATATATATATATATATATATATATATATATATATATATATATATATATATATATATATATATATATACACAGTATTACCCCGCCTAACGTGGTTTCACTTAGAGCGTTTTACCGTATACGCGGTGCCTCGCCAGAGCTGAACTTTCACTTAACGCCGGTTTTTTCCACGTATACGCGGTGAGTGTCCGGCTCCAGAGCTATTTTTAGATTTGCCCCACCCGCCACCCTCCACCCTGCCTGACTGCCTGTTTTAGCTCATAAAATTCATACAAATTACCGGGCCAGAATATAATTTACATTGCTGGAATTCTTACAATATGATGATCATTTTGAATATAAACATCATAGATTTGCATTAGACATACAAATTTTAGATATAATGTTCACTCTGAGTAAATATGTTATTTTTTGTGCAAAATATATGACATTTGTATTCAAAATATTCCTGGTCTTACAAGGAATCCAGCAATGTCAATTATATTATCCTAACTTTAGTTTGAGGTATTATTTATGACTAAAAAGTAAAATATTCTTGTTTTCCCACACATCTCCTTGTGACGGTTGGTGGGGGGTGGGGGGAGGGAGGGACCCACCGACCATCTGTTACCCTGTGAAGAATATTTTTTTTTTTATTAACTGAAGATATTTGTTTTAGCTCATAAAATTCATACAAATTACCCGGTCAGACTATAATTTACATTGCTGGAATTCTTATAATTTGATGATCATTTTGAATATAAACATCATAGATTTTGCATTAGACATACAAATTTTAGATAAAATGTTTACTCTGAGTAAATATGTTCTCTTTTGTGCAAAATATATGACATTTATATTCAAAATATTACTGGTCTTACAAGGAATCCAGCAATGTCAATTATATTATCCTAACTTTAATCTGAGGTATTATTTAATACAAAATGTTAAAATTTAGTTTTTTCACCCAACCTTTCTCTTGAAGGGAGGATTGGTGGGGGGTGGGGGGGAGGGTTGGGACTGACCGCGCGGTTGGAAGAGGGGGGGAGGCAAGGTGGGGTACTTTGATTGACAGATAGTGTCGTGAAGAATATTTTTTTTTTATTAACTGAAGATATTTGTTTTAGCTCATAAAATTCATACAAATTACCCGGCAGAATATAATTTACATTGCTGGAATTCTTACAATTTGGTGATCATTTTGAATATAAACATCATATATTTTGCATTAGACATACAAATTTTAGATAAAATGTTTACTCTGAGTAAATATGTTATCTTTTGTGCAAAATATATGACATTTATATTCAAAATATTCCTGGTCTTACAAGGAATCCAGCAATGTCAATTGTATTATCCTAACTTTAGTTTGAGGTATTATTTATTAAAATTTAGTGGTTTTCCCCCAAAAATTTCTCAGAGAGGGAAGAGCCAGCAGTGTAGTGTGAGAAGAGGGGGAGGGAGTTGAGTCCATTATTTGAATGGACATTAACTTGGCGACTGTATTTCTCTATTTCTCTTAAGTATTAATTGTGTGCATGTACCATCATAAAATTAAGATGTTATTTTTACTACAACATAGTTATGTGTCGTCAAAAAGTGGAGTTTGGGGGTCGGGCCGGTTTCTATTGGAATTAATCCCATATGTTCTGTTGTTCACTTAACGCGGTTTTCACTTAACACCGTAACCCTCTGGGTTTTATTGACCGCGTTAAGTGGTACAACTGTATATATATACATATATATATATATATATATATATATATATATATATATATATATATATATATATATATATATATATATATATATATATATATATGTATATGTATAGATCCACAATGAAAACGTGGATAAGATAAATGTATAAAATAAAAATTATTTTTAGGTGCTCTTTGTGTTATGATTTTTCAATATATATATATATATATATATATATATATATATATATATATATATATATATATATATATATATATATATATATATATATATATATATATATATACAATGCAGTGCTAGGGAGTTGCTGTGTGGTGAGGAGCTTGTTATGCGGAGGTCTTGTTGGTTTAAGAGCGTTGAGTAGAATCCTTTTTACAGTTGTTGTTGTTGTTGTTGTTGTTGTTGAGCTTGTCGGACCGTAGTCCGATACGGACCGTAGTCCGACACGGACCTTTGCCTATAGGCGGCCCGTTCGGTGGTTCTGGCTGGAGCTCTTGGAGCAGCCAGACCAGATTGGGATTGGAGGTTGTCATACCTGCAGATATGGAAGGATACTGCAGGTCGCAAGTGTGAGCAGACCCCCGATCAGTGGACGCTTACCACCAACCCCAACTCTTGGACGTGGTCAGTTTTGGAGTGGCGCGCCCCCCGAACTGGGGTCCGCACTTGCTGAGAGAGGATACTTTCTAAGCTATCTGGGTGGTGGGTATCGTGTGATGACCCGGAGAAGGTGGTGAATGTGCTTTGTTTGGGCCTTTCGGGTTAGAGTGGCCGCTGGTGTTGTGTGTGCTTCTTGGAAGTTTTGAATTCTGTTTCGGAGACTTTGTGTGACTTCGTAGTCGAGGAGATAGTGTTCAAGTGGGTTGGCTGCTGGCTCCTGACAGTAGGTGCATTCCATGACGTCATTTCCGATCATCTGCCAGGAGCACTTGTACCCTAGTCATAGTCGATGAAGGCTGACTTGGGTTTGTCTTGGTGTTTTCTTGTCCGCGAAAGGTGGTTCCCCTTTTGTAGCCGCCAGGTACCATTTGGCTGATTGGGAACCGGCATTGAATGCGTGAAGGAAGCTCTTTTGGATGTGGAACTTGCTAGTCTTTTTGAGGTGATTCTTGATCTGTTGCACGCTTGCTGGAACTTGAATGTGTACGCTACTAGAACGTGTGGCTGCCTTGGCTGCTTCGTCTGCCACGTCGTTTCCCCCGATCCCTACATGACTGGGAATCCAGTGTAAGACGACTGGGCGGTTTTGTCTTTGGAATTCCTGTAGCTGTGCGAGGATCGAGGTTATGATGTGGACGTTGTCTCTTGGTTGACTGTGTTGCAGCGCCTGCATGGCCGATTTCGAGTCCGTGTGAATTATGATGGACTTGTTGTGTTGTGTTGCAGCGTGTTGTAGGGCCTTTGAGATTGCTACCAGCTCTGTGTGTAGGGTGGAGCAATCATTAGAAAGTCTCCATCGGAGGGTCTGACCTTGGGTGTAGAAGACCACTCCGGATGTATGATGTTTTGGATCCACCGAGCCGTCTGTGAAGTATGATGCTGCATCAGCCGGTGTCTCGGTGGCTATGGCTTCTAGAGTTATTTTTTTGAGGTCCTCCTTCTGGAGGTTGGCTTTACTATCGCCTAGGTCGGTAATTTTGAATGTGGCTGGTGGATGGCTCCATGGTGGAGGAACTACGTAACCATTGTCTCGTGTGTCTTGGTTTTTCTTGACTAGTGTTTCTGCTTGCAGGTGTTGGATGACCTCTCTTGCCTCGTGCGACCAGGTGGCCCCTCGCTCTCTGTGGTCGAGGTGAAGGGAGGCACTGATTCGCGTTTTGGCAGCTGTGGGCTTATCTGATCTACAGATTTTGGCTAGGAGCCCGGCTGTCACCTGCTTGACTCGTACTGCCAGGGGTGGTAGTTCAGTTTCCATTTGCAAATTGCAAATTCTGGTCCACATGGGTGCTCCAAGCATGGTCCTGAGAGCATTATTTTGGATGACTTCTAGCTTAGCTATCTGGTCTTCTCTCAGTCCAATGAGCGCTGGAGCACTGTAATCTACCAGCGATCTGATGGCGGCAGTGTAGTAGGCTTTGAACGCATGAAAGTTTGCTCCTGCGGTTGTGCTGGTGAGCGCTTTTTACAGCGAGGCTGTGGGCTTATATACGAGTCCACCGGCAGTAAGCGTCGCTGTTGGCCGACCCCAGCGCAGTCCAGACAGCTAGACTTGTCAGGGAAACTCGTCGTGGGATCGGCTGATCAGCGAGTATCCACTACAGCCTGTTTAGCAGACATCATTGGCATGCATGTCAACATCTGACAGCATTGATAACCTTGTTTACAGTCGACATAGCAGAGTTGTAAAAAGTACCGAACTTAGTTACTTAAGTAAAAGTATTTTTACATTAGCAAAAGATTACTCAAGAAGAATTGAAAGTATCCAAAGTTCAATGTACTCAAGTGGAAGTAAAAAAAAGTATCTCATTCATATAGTACTCAAGCACTGTATGTGAAACGTAACACCAAAATTATTAATTATCTCAAATATAAAATTATATCCACAGTAAATTATAAAAAAATAGTTACCTAAAGATAAAAATAAGAGACTCATTGCATTACACATGTTTATTTGCAAATCTTTCTATTGAGATTAATCAATAACTGATTCTCAAAATTATGGCTGTCCAATCAGGATCTTTCAGGCCAAAATATAAGCCCAGCATGATCTACTGAAAGGGAATACGTTCAGCCTCTCTTCTCTTTACAATCCATCGCAGGGATGGTGAACGGGCTGAAAATATATCCATCTAACACTATGATTTATTTCTTCCTTATCTACACAAGTATCGTCGACATGCACTTATGGTCAGCAGATAATGTTGTATCTGCTCGCATTAGGTTAGGATGCAACCTGTCTGGCAAATATCTGAGGTGGGGGATGACCTGCACTTCTCT